GAGCTCAGCCCAAAAACAGACATGACTATTTTGTAAGCAAGGTGAGTGATTGTGAACAAAAAATTATAGGAAAATCTTAACCATGGATTAATAAAAGATCAACAAAGAGCATCATATTCTGATTGGACCATCATAGAAATATATCCTGCATCATGCATAAGAAGTCCTGGATCAAGATTCTATTATTAATTACTGAAATTCAGATCTTGTAAGACCAGATTAAATAGGGTGAGTGAAGAGACAGAATTTAAGAAGAACTTTAAAAGGCAAGTTGAATAAATTGTTCGCAATAGCAAAATAATTTCAACAGAAACATAGGGAAATGACTATACTTGGAATAATCTTCTCTACAGTTCAGGCTTGTAACTGGTTTATGTAGAACAGGTCTATGTGTCATAATACACAAGATGAACATAATACAGTGGTGTCTGCTTTGCAAAAACATGGCACCTGTTTCATGGGTGTAACTTAAAATTCATTAAAAAAAAAAAAAAAGCATTTTACTTCCCTCTTGCTTGTGCCCTAACTAATGCTCAGTAGATGCTACCTTCTAGACTGTGTGATTTTTAAACTCCAATAATTTGCTTCTGTGAATGCCAATGAAACTAGACCATGCTATTCTACTGTCAGCCTACAGACAATTGAAGTGAAATCTATTTCTTGACACCAGTCATTTAATTCTTCAAAGCATAATGCACAGAGAAACCTTCTTCAGAGTTATAAAGAAAGATATCTAAATAATAATATTCATGTTTCTAGATTGCAGTTCTTGTTAGTTCTTCTGTGACCCTGTTATCTTGCTGTTTTAGAAGACTAATGAGGAAGTGAAATGAGCCAGTCTTTTTCTAACCTCTTTCCAAAGCATATTTGTAAAAAACTGTCTTTATTGCAGGATAAAAAATTGATTGAAATGTATATTGATCTGTTCTTCTCCCCAAGCCAGATCTATTTTCTGTCACTTCTGTGTTTTGACTTCTCTAATGCAAACAGAAAATTAGAGAATAATATGCTAAACAAATCACAACTCATAGCTCAGTCTCCATTCTTGGAACAGTATTAATTATTAACATCATCCTCTGTTTTTTGACATCATACAAATCTTTTTAAGTCAGTGGAGTTGCTCTGTGGGAATTAAAACAAAAATTTAGTACTTAGACCTTTCATGAAAGAACAATAATGAAAAATATGGGGATCAGCTTACAGAACACAGATTTTTTTCATTTCTATTTTAATCAAATAGTCCTTTAAGGATTATTAACTTGTCACTGGCAAAGGTAAGCTTCATATGACTTAAGTTTTTCTGGATAATCAAGAAATAAATGTAGTGTCCATGATGTGAAATATTTCTGAACTAAGAAATATAAGAAACTATAAGAAACTAGAGGAAACCTAAGTACTTCAGATTTCATACCAGATAATAAAAATTTCAGAGATGGATTTTTTTAATGTTCCCACAAAAAATATCTGAGTTAGTGTGTTTTTGATGTATGCAGTTCTGTTTTTCTCCCACATTCTAATTGAAACCTAGTTTTCTCCCTCACAAGTTGATCAAGAAAGTCTAGATTATGCTTTTCATTTCTTGAAGTCTAATTTGAATTGAGAAATGTTTGTAGCAAAATAAATCTAGATGCATGCTTTTGTTAACGCTACATTGTTACATTAGCAAGCTTGGTTTGGTATATAGCTTCTACTTTCCTCTGCAATTCTACACCTACTTAGCAAAGATTAAGGACAGTTCATTCACAGAGAAAAGTGTTTATTTCTTCTGTATGATTTTGCTATCTCAGCTGTTATGGACCCTATCTGAGCTTATCTGAGCTAACTTAATGTTAGTGCATGTGAGCATGTTTTGCCAGCTTGTGTGGACAATGCACCAGGGTTGGAAGCAACAGCAGAACTTTAGCCTCCATACTTAGAGCTGTTGATTTAGTTTTGTAATGGGAAAATAAGCCTAAGGAGATATGTGATGTAATTTTCTAAAATATTTTTGAATTGCTGTATTTATGTTAAATTAAGGACAGAAATAAATTGTGTAGGAAAGAAAGCTCTATATGCTTAGAAAAAAGGAGAAAATGAATAGTTGTTTACTTTGTTTTTCCATAAGGAAATGTTCTCTGATTTAGCTAAATCAGAAAAATTCTATGGAAATTCTGGTATGATTTGTTTTGCTTTGTTTTGATAACAAGAAGTTGAAGAGGAAGAAGAATACCTAGGATGAAGTTTCTAAACTTACCCAGAGTTATTTCTTTCATTGGTCAGAAGTATCAGAAGTTTCAAACCTGAATGACTAATCATGTAACAAATTAACAGTTATGGTTCATCTTTCATAACGTGCAAATTGTTTATTTTTAACATTGTTAACTGACAGAAGTTAATTTACTCTTGTGGAAAAGGGATTCTGAAACAGTAAATCTCTGTAGCTTTGTTTAACCTGTTGTAATTTATATAGGAAAAAGCTATGTAATGACATATTGATTGTATGTATGTTTATATGCCTATTTTCTTCCCCTTGGTCTCAAGTTTTTTATTTCGAACACCCACAGTCTATCACATAAGATGTTCTCTACAGAAAGCAGGTTTCTGCCAGTAGCTTATCCATTTTTCTTTGGACACAACAATATTTTTGCAAACAGCAGTTTGTAGGAGTCTGCTTTTGATCATTATCATGTGCATTTGTCCCATGGTGTTGTTTTTTATTGATAAAAAAAGTTTTTAAAAAAGACACTGTGGTTAGTAATGATCTAACAATTATTTAGAATAACTTTATGGACAAAATAATGTACAATTAAGTTGTCATCCATTCTATAACAGATGATTCATGTTTATATTTTAAGTTCTCAATTTCATAACAATGGTAATAATGTAGTTTAAAGATTGGAGTCATTGAATTTTTTTGTTTGTTTTCTGAGGATGATATTTTCACAAAAGATAAATTGTTTCTTCTCTCTGTGGTATCCCCAAGGAAATCTAGTTTACCTGGCCCTACAATTGCTTGTGTATTTTGATACTTCTTACTCAAAAGGTGATCTTAAAAGTTTCTTAATTAGAGAATCTGAGAAAACATATTGTGGATGTTCTATATGTACTACAGTAGTGCCTAATGTATAGTTCTGCATCACTGTTGGTCAGATCAGGCAAGAACTAATCACCTATGATGAGGAATAATCATAGAACTTTAACCACTTCTATTTATTCCACGAATTTAGCTTTGAGACAACAAACTGTAGTCAGAGATTCTCTTTACTGGAATTTGTATATAATGCATAATAATAATGAGTTTTGGCTTAAACTCAAGTTCACCTTTTAAGTGATCAAACTATGAATAAATAATCTCTGTTAAATGATGTTTTATTCATTTTTATTTATTATTTATTTTTATAACAAAGTTACCTGTTACCAATGCTATAATAAGGCAGTATCATAACTTAGAGAGTAATTCTTAGAAGGTTTGATATTGCCTTGATCTCCACAATAAAGAAAGCTCTCCACATTGCAAAACTTAAATTCATAGGTCTCTTCAAAGCAGAATTGTAAAGCTTTTGAACTTAATGATCAAAATGTTTCTTTGTGCTCTTTTCTTCATATTGTATAGCTTGTAGTGATTATCTGCACCACTGACAAATGAAATGGAATATTGGCTATACATGAGCTGGGAAGACATTAGCTGTAGAAAGGGGGTAATTTTGATGACAATTCTCAAGAAAACAATAACTGAAGTAATTACATATCTGCCACACATCAGTGTGTATCAGTGCTTAAAAATGAAATAATTGAAGATCTTTGGATTCTGTTTCTAAGAGAGATAGGCTTTTTATTAATATTTATTATTTATAATACTTTATTACTATTACTGAACATCATGTGTTCATACAGATGAAAATGGATTTTTGAATTTTGCATTATGAATGAGGATTTCCTCTGAGTTAATCATCATCCTACAGTAAATTATCCAGGCCTTGAATACATTTTGCTGTGTAGCTGGACTCTGAAAATGTGGGCTTCTAGGCATACACTTTCAGACAACCATCCTGGTCCTAGTCCTGAAATTAAGGTTTCCACTCTAAATCTTTCAGAGTAATTGAGACTTCTAGTGTTCCAGATGTCTCCTGAAGAAACAGCATACCACAGAGTCATCTTGAATTATTAGATACAAATTATCTATTGTATATTATATTCTTTAAAGCCAGAAGTACACAAATTTTGCAGATACATTCTCTTTTCTTTTAAAGAGAGAAAGCATAAGAAACAAAGGTGTATCCAAAAAGGTCATCAGCATGCAACATCTCTATAATTTTTTTTTCTTGTTGCTTAGTCTTGTCTTTCTTTTGTATCTCATTTTGGATGTGTTTTGTAGACAGAGCTCTCTTCAATAAAATTTACATTCCTCCGATTAGTTTTCTGTGTTATACCTCTTGTACACATGGATACTTATTATGTAATTCATGGCTTAAGTTACATAAAGTCACTGAGAGTGGAAAATTTGCTTTGGAGGTTGTAGTCTGTCACTGTTGATGCGATGCCTCCAACTGGATGGAGGATTAGGAAAGTAATGACTGTTACTAATTCTCTGTTGCTTGTCTCAGATTCTTTCTTATCATCTTTCTGGATATTCAATCCAATATACAGGTTAAATGACCAAAAACGAATGTGACCTTAGAAAATTATAAGATTTCAGATGTATTCTAATCCATCATTATATCAAAGTTAAAGGAGAAAATTCTGTTAGCAGCAAGAATAGCTGTAAGCAAGTAGGGACATGTCTCTATATGTTAATGTCTACCAAAAAAAAACCCTGTATAGCCATGTATATGTCTGCAGCTTTTTCCTGAGCATTCAATATGCTGGTGCTTGTAAGACACATAAATAATTTCAAATACCTTTCTGTGGTAATTCAATAAATACAGTCTCCATAATGACATTGGTTCAATTTATAGTTTTTAGTATTATCTATCAATTATGGTTATATATGATCTTCCCCTTATGTTTGCTTTACTTTTCAGCTCCAGACCAGTCTATCTGAACCAATGACATTATCCAAGTCGATCTCACTTCCTCGTAGTGCGTACTGGCATCATATCACCCGGCAGAACAGCGTTGGAGAAATCTACAGTTTTCAAGGCAAGTATATGCCACATCTATTAGCTCCTTTCCATTTGACCAGAATTCATGCAAATTGCTTTTTAGTGTCACTGGTAGTTTTGTCTCTTTTTCATTTAACAATTGTAAGGAACCACAGTGGGATTCCCACATTTACATAACCCAGGTTTCTTTTACTCAGTTTGTAAACCACTGGTGAAAATTATTCCCAGGATCACTACATAAAATTGGATAAACAATTTGGCTCAGTGTAGCTTCTCAGTAGCTAATGAGTGTCTTTTCTTCCAAGAAGATTGTTTATGTATTTGGGCAACCTCAGGGTGCCCAATTAAATCTACATAAGATGGCTGTATGAGTTGCTAGATTAAAACAAAGGAACTCTAGGAATAAGAGCTACTCTTGATGAATTTGTTCAGGAGATCGTATATATGAACTGTTGATTAGACTGATTTACAAACCTGCAGCATATACCAATCATATTTTTCAGTGTCCAAATCTCCTTCATATAGATAGATTCTAAGCTTTTTGCTTATGACTTTAAATGCTGTAATTAAAGTGAGTTGGGGAGGAGGAGGATTAACTGCACACAAGCTGAAATTAATTTGTATCTTTTAGGAAATTGAAAATTTTTGTTTAAAATATGGACAGTAATTAATAGTATTGTTTTCACCTTTTTAAAAAAGCAAAACTGTAATAAACATATTCCTTAATCAAGAACTTAAGGATTTCATTTCACTTCCCTTTTATAAGGGAATAATAAGCTCTTTGCATAAGCAATTTACATTTAGATAGGAAGCTAGAAACTGCTCACAAACCACAGCACCAAGTCCAACAAAATGTATTACATGCTTTCATGCAGTGTATAGGTGAAAGCCATGAAGTGTTTTGTTTTGTAAATTATCACATAAATTAAAATCAGCAGGTGAGCTGTGAATTCAATAGGTGACTCATTAAAGGGTACAGCATTGTACTTCAGCCCTCATCAAACGAGGATAAAGCGAAGTTCTAATCATTGTTACGGACTTACAGTTAAATTACATTAATGAAAAAAAGTAAATAACCTTTCAGAATTTGGTTGTGGAAAAAAGTTGAGGTAGTAGATGACCTTAAAAGCATTCACCATATAATGTTATCATTTGTGAAGACAAGACAAAAAAGAAAAGAAAAAAAAAAGAAAGGTAATTTGTCAAGGTGTTAGGGCTCCTCTTCTTATGTTCTTGTTGAGCACTTCCTTTGGAGAAAAAAATAGTAATTGTTGTGACATACATGAAGTGAAAGAAAAGAGTGTTGTTTGTTGTTTGCTGCATCTGTCTTTTCTCATAAGTGGCCTTTGTAATTCAATACAATTTAAAAGAAAGCAGAAGTTTATACATGGAATGCTCACTCAATATGCATACCGACTCGCTCTGTGGAAGATAACATATTGGAAGTGTATTACTAAAAATGTAAGAATTCTGCTTTTTTAGAAGTAGGCAGATTTTGTTCACACTTTCCCTGAAATATGGAACAAATAAATATTTCAGAACATAAGATTTTCCTTCCTCTTACATGTACTGTGATGGCTGAAATTTGAGAAAGCATAGTAGGTTTCAGGAGTGATAAATCTAGTTCTATCAGTGGCTAAGAAATATACCAAGAGGGCTATTTTCTTTGCCTCCAATTGCAAGACTTCAATATGCAATAACATTATTCATTATCTGTTATGAGGATCTCTTTGAACTTTCTGCTGCAATGCTTATGACTAATGAAATTCTGTATATTTGTGCAGAAGCTTAAGGGAGTGGAAAATACACTTTCATTCTGATACCTGCTTGTACTGGTAGTCTTTGCACAGCAGAGATCTACTGGTTGTTGAAACATCTGCCTGCAGATGCTTTACACACGTGGGTGGAAGGTGGGTAGCAAGGAAGCAGATTGCAAGCTTCACTCCAACCCTCGCGCTACCACAACAGACAGGTGAGAGGAGTTGTTGCAGAGGGAGAAATCACTTGCTGCTGCTCTGATCTTCTCTGAGCTTGAAAAGGTATACTGCCCCCTTCAGAGACAAGGCTTTTTCTTTAGGGAATAGTCCATCAAATTCAGTTCAACACTGTGTATTTATGACAGAGCTTTTTGATATGCTCTGATGATATAACTATCACCAGGTCTACTTATATCCAGATTACTATTGATTACAGTAAAGTAGCATTCAAACACACTGTTAAATACAGTGCAGAAATGTTTGCCTAATAGCAATTCTTTCAGACTTGCAGTTTGAATTGACTAGAATTTAATTAATAACAGCTGGTGATATATAAGGAGAAATGAATATGCGCTCATACTACCTTGGATAAATTGGCTCTTTGAGAGCTATTTAGCAGTCAAATTTAACTTAATTAGTAGTTTGAGTTGATCTGATAATAAATATGCAGTAGAGTGAAAAGGGGCAGGATGAGGGGATTGTGGGGTTTCTTTAGAGTCTGTATTTCAGATGAGAAAAGGTAATTCAATAGATGGATTCTGGATTTATCATCCTTCATCTATCCATGAAAACCCTTCATGTAAAGATCTGAAAAGATTAAAGCACCAAATAATGCGGTCAAAGGAACACAGGCTGCACAAAATATCATAAAATGCTGTGGGCTGATTTCTCTTTATGTAGCTTTTCTTCCACTTGGTCATCATTACACTCTTTCAGTTCTTGATTGCACTTCTACAATAAAAGTGGTAATTTAGTTGTCTAATTAATTTTACATAAAGGAACAGGTTGGGGTAACGTTATCACCACCAGTATTCATTTCAAATTCTACAATATAATGCTGCAGGTCTGGTAGAACTTCCATGCACGATCTGCAGCCGCTGCATAGGTGCTGTGGTGGGCCCTTTTTGGCTGACAGTCAATTCCTCGCAGTGCTGTGCATTGGGTGTCCTTGCTGCCTGATGGGCATCTGGCAAACCCACTGTTGCATGAGGAATTTGCTTCCACAGAAAAACACCAAAGCATCTTTAAGGCTGAATTTCATTCTAAACCTCTGGTTAGAATGATTTCACCTAAAGGAAAAGAAAAGAAAACAAAACAAAAACAGCATCTACCCTTATAACTCATTGTCTATTTTTATTATCTGGAATATGATTTATCACTTTTTCACAAGATGTTAAAAACTGATAAGTAGAGAATGTACTTTTAAACAGCAAATAAAAGCTTTAAATTTTGATATGTTTTGAAACTTTTCATTTGGGTGTTTGAATTTGCTTAGAATGAAAAGAGATTGCAGACAGATTTTTCAGTTGCATGAAACTTACTTTTGTGGTTCTTGCTCTAGAGAGTTTAGACAGTATAGATTTTGAATGCAATTGGTTTAGATACTGTTAAACAAATCAGGCCAAATAAAATTTTGCTGTGGAAACCTGCATTAGTTTTTGTATTGCAGTTACGGAATTTCTCTCTGGAAATTGTGTTCGTAAAATCTAATTACAGTCTGGCCTTTCTGCAAGAAATTCAAAATCAAGGATTGCTTTCAGTCACTTCTGTTGTGTTTGAGTCTGCTTTATATTCTTTATTTGGACTATGTCTTTGCATACTCAAAGCGATAAACACCTTCCACATACGGAATCATACTTGTTTCTATGCAAGCACTCACGTGAATGAATGTGCATTTGTATAAGAATTATTCTGGTAGCACCTTACGTGTTTTCCCATCAAAGAGAACAGTAATGCTTTTTTTCTACAGTAAGTTACTTATCAGAATTTGCTTATCACAAATGCTTATCAAATTCTGCTCTAAATGCATACCAAAGCCTTTTCAAAGCAGAAAGACTGATATAAGGCTAAAAATAATTAGAGAATATTTGAGTTGCTACATATTTAGAGGAGTTTGAATCATTCTGTTCAACCCTCTTTAGGCTAATCCAGCAGGAATTTCCTATGTGGTCTTCTGTAGTTTTCCATAAATGAAAGTATGTATAATGAATTGAAGGACATTCATTATTTTGACATTTCCATTGTTTGTTCATATGCCCAGCAACAGAGAACAGAATTCATTTCCTTATCTAATCTCAATTCTAGAATAATGTGAATGATATAAACTGTTAGAATATACCTGATCATTCCTTAATGTTTCACTAAGCATCTACCAGCAGCTAAAATGGTTTATAGCCTGCCATCTTCCCATTTCCTTTGTTGAATCTCATCAAGACTTTCCCATTAGTAAATGAAGCCTATAAAATTTGAAATATGAATAAAAGACAGCTGAAGCAGATACAGAGTAGAGACTGTGTTAGAGCTACATTATTTAATATAATTTTATTATGTGACATCTTAAATCTTATGCTGTGGAGTAGATCCTTTTCTTGTGAACTTTGAAGTTCGGTGCAAAACAGTGCACCACTAGGCTGATTTTAAAATGGCATGTTGGAAATGAGAAGCGTCCTATTCAGAAACTAGTAAAGAAGCACTTGATTTTTGCCTAACAATAATTGCTGTAACTAGTTACAAGCATTACTGACGAGCTCAAAAAAATGTTATTTCTGGTAAATGGCTGCTGAGATAAAGAGATTTTTACAGTTACAAGCCATGAAAAACCAGAGGGAAAAGTCAAAAAGAGTAAATTAAGCATATTATGTGGTCAAATACAGAAGTTCTGATTTCATTTTAAGGCTCGTGTTGCAATGCCCTGTCTCTCATTAGATAGCCCACCAGCAAGAGCTCTTGTCAATGAGGTTGTTTGTACTACACTAGGAGGGGCACTTTTATCTGAAGTTACAAATAAAATCCTGAACAGCGTTCAAAGAACAGGTAAATATTGGATGATTGCCTCTTCTCCTCTAAAAAAATAAAAAGATAAACTACAAACATAAAATTTTCAATACCAACTACAAAAATTCTTACTTATCAATCAATTTTTACATCTTAGGTTAATGATTTCATTAAAAAGGTAGCTTCTCACTCAATATGAGAAGCAAATTAAGCTCTGGTCCTAGCTTATATTAACCAAACACTGGAAGCTTTAGCCTGAATTAGCTTAAGACAGCATACATATTAC